AAAAAAAAGCATAAATAAGAAACATGGAAGATATAAAAAAGACCAAATTGATATAATGTTTGAGATGAAAAATACATTGAGTAGAATTAATACTAGATTAGACCCTACAAATACAAGCTTTATGTATTTGAAAACATAGCATTAGAAAACTGCTTCTCATAACTTCCAGATTGAAAACTTGTAGCCAGAACTCCCGATTCATATAAAGTACTTGACATCTGACATCTTGGATGACTTGTAGGCATTTTAAATTTAACATGTCAGAAACTGAACTAATAATGTGCTGCTTCTCCCCATTGCTCCCCTGTCTCGATAAATTACATTCTATCCTTTGGGTTGTCAAAAGCACCGATTTCTTAGTCATCATATCAAATCCCTCAGCTCATGTCTTTACTTACCTATCACCTTCTTAATGAAACTTTCCCTAACTCAAGGGTGTTACCCTAGTAACACCTTGAGTACCTCTCCGCAGATTTTCTCATGTCCTTGCTTAATTTTTATTCCTTAGCACTTGTCCCTGATACATCTTTTGCTTATAGGTTCTGTTTATTATTTACTTTGTCATTAGAATATGGGCAGAGATCTTGTCATGTTTTGTTATGGTTTATCTCTAGATATCCTTCTAAAGTCTCGTGTACTCAAAAGGTGTGAAAGGTGATTGGATTATGAGTGCTTATAGCTGACTTGCTGTTAGGAAGTGGGGCCTCATTTATCTCCCTCCCAGACTTCTCTCATTCTCTCTGCTTCTTATATGCCATGCCCCTGTGCCATGTCTTCCTGTCTTGGAGTCAGCTGATATGAGGGACAGAAACCTCTACAAACTGAGGCCAAAATAAACCTCTCTTTCTTTAAGTCGTGGGTGTCAGGTATTATTTCCCAGTGACAAGGAAAGTGACACAGTTTCCTTGTACAGCTATCTCCCTGTAACGTAGAACAGTGCCTGATGCATAGTAGGTGCTCAGTCATCATATAAAACACACAGTATGCTAACCTACACACGCACAATGTGATTCATACTTTTCTTTTGAGTAGATGAAATAAGTACCTAACATGTGCCAGATTCTGTTTCAGTTATTGATGGTATAGTAGCAAAAAAATATAGTATTTAAAAATTAGCATTTGAAAAATATCCAAATGACTATATTTCAAAAGTTATAGAGTTTTAATTCAAATGAATGTATTATTAAAGACTAGCAACTCAAAGTATATAGCGAAGTATTTAGCTGTTTGTTAGATTTTGTCTCAGTCACTTTCTCATAGCTTAGACATAATGCCCAAGACCAGACCTTAAAGGAGGGGGTTTCTAGCTCATCGTTTCAGAAGTCTCCGTCCGCGATTCATAGGCCAAACACAGAAGCAGACCCGAGTGGCATAGTGGAGGAAAGCAGTTCATGTGGTGGCGTTAGGAAGCAGAGAGCCGAGGGAGCGGCTGGGAGGGAGATGCGGCCTTCCTGTCAGACCCCCAGTGACCCACCTCTGCCCGGGCCCCGCCTCTAATGCAAGTCAGCTGTAGCATCACGTAATCCATCACCTTCCAAAAACCCCATCCATGAGCCACATGAATGTTCTGGGCAACATCTAGATGTAATCGACTTATTTTTAAAATGACACATAAGCAACATGTGAAGCATAGCTGCAGTTTAGATGGTTCAAGAAATGAAGGGCATTCCAAATAAAAAAGCAAAAATAAAGGAAAATGATTATTAGTGGTTGGGGAGACCAACCTAAGTGGAGTAGGTTTATATTAGATATTTCTCCATTAATTTGACAGTTAACCACTGAACTAGTTGCTGTCCGGAAGGTACATACTTAATTAGGGAAGCCTATAAGCTACAGTATAGTATATCAGTTTGTTAGAACCCAGGACATCCCTGGGTTTTATCCATGGGAAGGCAGAGTAGAAGTGTCTACCACTTTCTGAAGGGAAGCTACTGGCGATGATACCTAAACTCTCATTTGAAATCTATATGACAGCCAGAACAATGACACTGGATGAGCTCTCTGCAGGAGAAGAGCTTGAGGGTTAGGGCTGTGTGTTTGAAAATCATCAGAGTAGAACGCAGTCAAAAATCATAGAGGGAAGAAAAAGGAGAATGTTGTCTTGCTGGAAGTAGAGGAAAGAGATTTAGAATCTGAAGTGGTCAGAACTGGATCAGGTAAGAATAAAGAGAAAAAGTAATTAGGTTTGATGGCAGTAATTCCCTGAAAACCTTAAAAATTGCTATTTTAGGAGACTGGGGATAGAAACCAAATTGCAGCATCAGTCAATAAAAAATGAGTTTTGAGTCAGTACCACAGCCACGAACCAAATGGTATCTTTTATGTTTATGCAAAGAACTGTTTCACCCTTTGCTTTCCTTTTTTTATTAAGTTAATAATGTCTAGTAATTTGCTGAAAACTCTACCAAATTTAACTTTATTTAATGGCTATCAGTTAACTGCAGACCGTTTGAGCTTTTTGTCAGAAATATAAAATATTATTGCTAGAATAGTTTTTAGCCTCTCAGTGCAGTGCAAGATCAAGAATTTTTCTTACCTGTGGTCACCACTTACCAGTTGTCATTCACCGTGGCAAACTTTTGTTCTTTTTGTCAATGCAGGAAACCAAAGATAAACTTAAAGAAACAACAACAAAGTTAACACAAGCAAAGGAAGAAGCAGATCAGATACGAAAAAACTGTCAGGAAATGATAAAAACATATCAGGTATGCTTGGATTTTCAGATAGACTGGTAACAAATTATGGTAAATATATATATATATATATAAAATTTTTTTTTTTTTTTTTTTTTTTTTTTTGTCTTTTTGAGACAGGGTCTTGCTATACAGTTCATGCTGGCCTTGAGCTCACTTTGTAGCCCAGGCTGGCCTTGAACTCAATGATCCTCCTGCCTCAGTCTCCCGAGTGCTGGGATTACAGGCGTGCGCCATATAGTAACTATAAATACTGTGGTTTCATTCAGTTTCTGTGTCTGCAATATTTGAAGTGTATAATGGGTTTGATAAAACAGTTAAATAAAACTCAAGTTTTTCTTTTGTTAAAGTATGTACAGCTCAAATGGATATTATTTAAAAATTTTCAATGAAATACACTTTCTAGAAAATATCAGAAGGACAAAGAGTGTTAGGAAATGTATAATTTCAAAAAAAGAAATGACCCTGTGTTGTTATATAAGTATGCTGTTCTTGTTCATGCAAAATTGACATTTAAATTTTTCAAAGTATTCTTCAATTTATATAAGCTATATATGTTTAATAGTACTTAATTGTGCAAAGCTTTTTTCACTTTTGCATTTTAAAACTGTAAAAACTGTCATACTTTCTAAAATTTTCTTTTCGTTAGGAGTCAGAAGAAATTAAATCCAATGAACTTGATGCAAAGCTTAGAGTTACAAAAGGAGAACTTGAAAAACAAATGCAAGAAAAATCTGACCAGTTAGAGGTGAGTAGTTTTGCTTTTATTGTACCCTAGATTATGTATGAAATACAGAAAAAGAGACTGAGTAGATATTGCCCTTTGCGTTTAAGGTCATTTGGAAGTAGCATTTTAGAGGTAGTTCAGTGCGTTATGATTTGTGGTTTCTTTTAAAGATGCATCATGCCAAAATAAAGGAACTAGAAGATCTGAAGAGGACATTTAAGGAGGGTATGGATGAGCTACGCACACTGAGAACAAAGGTAGTAATCAAAATTTATTTGTAATTTTGGATTTACTCTGATTTTTAAAGTGGTAGGGAAAGGATATTTATCTAGGAATTTAAAAATACTCAGAGGAGTAGAATAGTGATTCCTTAGTAACATAATCAACTTTTGTTGAAATGAAAGTGCCTTTCTTGTTCTCCCCTTTGAACTGTTCACCAAACATTCCTATTTATAGTACATTTGTTGCATCTGTACTTATCCTTGGGCCTTTGATCTAAAGACAGTCTTCAGCAAATGAATTGGAAAGGTAGTTGGACCTTTAGAACAGTAACTATCAGAAAATAAGAGGCAGATTTTTCTGCTTCTCCTGCATGTATTTAAAAATCCTAAGTGGATACAGTTTTAATTTCTATCAGTTAAATCTCCAGTGTTTGTAGTCTTTATTTTCAGAATAATGTTCCTTCTAATATGAATGAGTGTGATATATTATTATGTGTATCATTTATTTATTTGAAACAGCTTCCAAGTAACCACTTTGAATTTGAGATCATCTAATAATTTTTAGTGTTTTTCATATATCTTCCTATGTTCTCCATATTGGGGTATTTGAGGATTTGAGGTGTATAGAGATGATATATTATTTTTCCAGATGAGAAAATGTAAGTTCAGCAGATTATAAAGTGACATGCTAAAACTCCCATGTCTGAATCGTAAGAACCTGAAACTGAACTCTAGGACTAATGCTTTCTTCACATGAAATGATACTACTTTAGAATTAAGCCTAGATTTGGGGGGCAGAGGTTACCAGGAATTGAACTCAGGGCCTCATGCTTTCCAGGCAGGTGCTGCACCACTGAGCTGAATCCCCGGCCCCTAAGCCTAGATTATTAATATGTAAGCACTGTTTGAAGTAGTGTATAAGGAACAAGAAAATACTGTTCTTAGTCTAACTTGATTATGATCATTTCATAGGCAAAATGTCTAGAAGACGAACGATTAAGGACAGAAGACGAATTATCAAAATACAAGGAAATAATTAATCGCCAAAAATCTGAAATTCAGAATTTATTGGACAAAGTGAAAATTGCAGATCAAATACAGGAGCAGCTTCACAGGTATAAAATGAGTGACTCCTATTTGTATTAACAAAGAGGTTTTTAATTCTATCTCAAGATTTTATTTTTAAAATATAATTATTGCATTAAATAAGAACAATTTTTACAGTTTTATGGCTGACATTTGTAAAATATTTTCACCTGAACTTTTTTCGATAATCTCTGTGCCCTCCTTCATGGCTTCTAAGAATCAAAGTTTATGATCTCTAATCATTGGCAGTAGGGATTTATAAGACAGATTGGATTTAATTTTTTAAATCCATACTTTAGCTTTCAAATTGTGTTACTTACACACAGTGCTTACTTTTTCTTGTGAATGGTAAATCTATATCTGTATCTAGATCTAGATCTTTGCATGTATTTAGCCTACCATGTCAGGAGCTGAAGTTATTCTCTGGCTTCTCATAAAACCATTGAACTAACTCCACTCACTGTATTGCCTGGCAGAGCCTAGGTTCAAGTTGAGTTCAAATAATGTCTTCTTTTCTGCACCTTACTTATATCCACGCTGCTGAGTATAGCTAAAATATCCTCACCATTACCCAGACCGCGGCTTCTATAAATTTGTGGTCCCTGTCTTCAACAAGGAATATATTAATGCATGTGTAATCTTACTTTGTGTCCTTGGTCAGAGCCTTCTACCTCATCTTCTGAGCCAGTTCTTCAAGGTCTTACCACTTTCCTTACAAATTGGGGTTTCCTTTTACCCCTCTATATTTGGTCCTCATGGTTGATTGTTTACAGAAAAAAATAGGAGCTGACTCGTGACAGTTCTCTCAACTTCTTGTTTTTAGTCTTTTGAGTTGCCTACATCTACAGCAGTTATGGAAGAAATGTTCCTGTTCTCGTCTAAATTAAATTATCCTACCTCTGTGAATCCCTTGGTCTTCTGCATTCTCCAAGTCTTTGTTGATTGTTCCTTTACTCTTTGTCTTGTCTCTCTCCACTGATTTTCCTTTTCTTTCTACATTTAAACATGAATATATGTTTAAAGGGTCAAAATTCTTGTGACCTTTCCTTACCTATTTTTCTCCTTTCCTTCACAATTGGATTTACTTACAGACTCATCTATACTCATTCTTTATTTCTTTGCTTCTTCTGTGAAAAGAAACTGTGTTCTCTCCCATTTCATTCTAGCTTTTACTTCAGACTATTAAAGTGGATTCTCTCTTATATACAGTAGTGGACATAGCTCAGATACAGCCTTCCTTGAATTTTCAGTATTTTTTTTAAAGAGATATGAGGAAGATTTATTAGAGGTAACTATAGGGTGCACTCCAAGAATGGAATGCTGGTGCTCAGAGAAATGAGGCGTGATACAGTTGGGAACTGGGGCCTCTTACGTGTTTTGGGTGGTGGGAATCTGTGGAATTGGATAATCTGTAGTCTTAGTTTTGTCTAATGGGTAGGAGAGTATGGCCCACACATAGTGAGACAATATAGGAAGTTCCAAAAGGATGGTTCATTCATGGGTGAAAGAGGACCATTTGCAAGTAAAAAGGAAGTGGCCAAACCCCTTCTAAGGTGAAAGGGAGTTGCCCAAATTTGCTCTTTTGGGAGAAGAAAAGGAAGAAAAAAAATTGGGCTTTTGTCCTGAAGCTGCAGTTTTTTTTCTTAAAAGTTCAAATTTTATTTTATTTTATTTATTTTTTTATTTTTTGGTACTGGAAATCGAACTCAGTACCTTGCGCTTGCCAAGCAGGTGCTTATGCCACTGAGCTACATCCCCAGCCCAAAAGTTCAAATTTTGATAATCAATTTCCTTGTCACCTTTTTGCTTAATTTTATTTCTTCTCTCCTGCCTCATTTTCCCCTCTGAGACTTTGGTCCCATATATTCTTAAGCAGGTGCAGAAGGTCTGAGGACCCATCTTCATGTAAGTGCTTCAGGCTGAGGAAGGGTGTTGACGCTGCCAGCCCAGGGAATGGAAGTCCCCTGGCGATCTAAAGGAGGCATATGAATAATAGGTTCCATCCTTTGAAGAACCATCATTTTTTTGGTAGTCTGAATAAGAGGACAAGACATATGAGACATTAGTTCCCGACAGTAAGGAATCATACAGCAGAAAAGAATTCCAGTGTGGCTATAATATCATAGTCAGAAAAATGAGAATTTTCTCCACCAGGTTGTTCCATCACAACCTGGAACCATCACACCAGCCAGTCATTGAAGCGTGTGGCAGAGTCTTGACATTGCCTTGATTTGTGAACGCTGACCGTGTAATGCAGAGGACATGTTAGCAGAGTTGTCAGGAATGTACACACAACATTTTTTGGTAATGGCACAGGTTCTACCTTGTGCTGCTATTACAATAAGTAGGGCCATTTGGTTTTGTAGAATGGCTTTTTTTGTCATCGTTTTTACTTCTGGGTTTAATAATGAAATACTCCCTTCGTGTATAGTTAATAAGAGATTCAGTGTGCCCTATTGCATTCTCAAGTCCTACTTGGGGGCCACTATAAAGATAGTGGCCAGATAATCATACCAGTGGAAAGTTGATCTGGTCCATCGATGCCTAAAAACTGGATGGTTAGTTGGTTGATCTGTGGCTTTAACCTGGTGCCCTTGGACCAATGGATACCCTAATGTAAATCTTCTGATCCACTTTGGAGGCAGCCAAGGCTACAGGTGTGTACTGCAGAGCCACTGGGTACTGTTTAGTGCTGGCCATCTTATTCCAGCTCTTGCCCTCCACTCAGTAGCAAACAAGTCAGTATCTCTTAACCAGATAGTGTGATTATAGTCTTAAATTGAAATCCACCCCATATTTTGAGTGCTATTGCTGCACCTATCATAAGTATGATTTTTTTGTTCTCAGCAAAAAAGTACTAGTTGGCTGAGTTGTCCTCTTTTTATATTAGCCAACTTTTGATTTAATTTTGCTATTACTCTTTATAATTTTGTTATACTTTCCTTTTGAGTATTAAAGACCAACTCAAAGCGAGACTTGTGTTAATCAAAATTAATCTCACTCTCTATGTATATATCAAGGTCAGTTCAGGCTTCTGAGGCGTTACTTTTGAGGCTATGGGCAAAGCCTCTTAGCTCTTTTAGTTTTTCCTCTACCAGTTGTGTCATCTCCCAAGATGAGTCGCTGTCTTTGCTAGACCGCATGACTTCCCTTGGAAGCATGGGAATATTTCCCTCTTTAGTGACCCTCTGTCTAGCACAATACATACTGGTTGACTCCTGTCCTCTGGGGTCCATCTCCCTGCTGTAGAGGTTGGGTGATTTACCAGAGTTGTAGGAGGATCTTGTAGAGAGATCCCCTCGTGTTCTGGGTCCTTGTCGATCTTGGAGGGCTATGGCCAAAATATTGGCTATCTTCTTAGCCCAGTTACCTTTGTAACTTTGGTCTCGAAGCCTTAGTTACTGAACATCTAGAAGGTCAGTTATACCAGTACTGAAGTGGGAGTGGTAAGTTTAGCTTTTATAATCTCATCTGTATGTCAACCACTTTGAAATATAAAGTATAGCCAAAGAACCGCTATTTTTTTAAGCAGTCAGGGCTGTCTTACATATCAAATTCCTGTGGAATGTTAACAGATAATAGTTACAGTGGTTTACTAGGAAAATTTTAAATCAAGAGCAAACACAGCATCTTAGCATAACCAACCACTATGCTGGCATTATCATACCAGAACCATTAGGTCTTTGATTTTTTGAGACAGGCTCACTATATAGTTCAGGCTGGCTTTGAACTCAACATGTAACCCAAGCCTTAAACTCGCAGCAGTCCCCTGCCTTAGTGCTTGGATTACAGGCATGTGCCACCATGCCCAGCTGAATTATCCGTGCTTTTTGTTTTTTTGGGTTTTTTTTCTTAACACCGCTGAACGTGTCTCTCTTGATTCTTCTGGTCCTTTGGCTTTGTTTTCATCAGCTCTCACTGTTCTCTCCACTTTTCTGGCCACTCTTTCTCATTGGTGACCTTCTTTCCGTCAGTCCTCTTTTACTTAAATTTTATCATTGAGTGGTTTTATCACCCTGAGTGACGCCAGTTATTCCCCTAACATGCTGCAGGTCCTTTGAGTCATTGTCTTAATCCGTTTTGCTTAGCTTTAGGCGCAGAAGTAGCAAAAACACTTCAAACTTTAGCACGTCCAAAACCGATTCCTTTTCCTGCCTACAGATACACCTTCTGTCATGTTCCCAAGATGAGGGACGAGTGTTAACACCCCATGATTATCCAGCTGAGGAGCCTGGTGTCACCTCCCTCCTCCTCCTTCTCACGTACTGACCAGTTACAAAATGTTAGTGTTGTCAACTCTTGAATATTGTCTGCATTCATTCACTATTTACATCCCCGCTGCCTCTACTATAGTCCAAGCCCTTAGCAGCTCTTACGTGGAAAGCTGCCACAGCTCATGAGCTAGTTTTTCTGCTTGCCTTATCTCTAAGCCATTTTCTATACTATCGTTAGCATAATCTTTTTTATTTTTTATTTATTTATTTATTTTTTATTTTAAAGAATAAAAGAAGGATAACATAATAATAGGGGGGACTTAGCAAATTACAGACAAAATGGTAGGAAATTATCAATGGTTATCGTTTTACATATTATTATCTACAAATAGTTTCTCAGGAAAACAAATAGACAAATAATAGTGAGTTAGAGACAAAAGAGGTAGGAGATTATCAAGAGTTGTTGTACTATACTTTGGTATCTTCAAAGTGGCTTCTAAAGAAAATAAATAGAGCTATACATGAGTGACCTATTGAAAAATCATTAACTATTCTCAATGGTTGTTGTAGGAAACACTTAATAATAAACATACATCAATTTATGAAATAGGATAGGAACATTACAAACTTTACACAGTTATGGATAGATTAGTAGGAAAATATCAATGGCTGCTGTAATACGTGGTGGTATCTTCAAAGTGGTTTCTCAGGAAGACAGAGATATGCAAGAAGGATCTAATAAGTAGTTACAGCCTAAGGGTTGTCAAAAATAGCATATTACCTCCTCACCAGTGACTCCTTTCACTGAGGTATGATGGCTGGAAGGAAGGCCAGGATTGAAAAGAAGGACCGAGAGACTTGCACCTGTGTCTAGCAACAGGCTGTTTTCTTGTTCCTCCATAGTCATGATTACCCAGGGCTCCTCGATGGAGAGGATGGTCTGGCCAGAGGGAGAAGGCAGACCATGCCCCAAGCCCTCTCATTCCTGTAGCATAATCTTTTTTAAAAGGACATTTTCTCAAAACCTTTTGGTGATTTCCCATTGCTTCAAAGATTGCCTAAGGAATTTGAATGTCTTAGCATGGCTGTAAAAATTAATGAGTAGTCTCTCGCTTTTTATTCCTTTTCCTTTGTAACTCTTGTGCTTTTGTTAATAGATGTTTGTGGATCTTGGCAGACCTTAGGTTTAGTGCCTAGTATCTAGTACAGTCCTTATTATCAATACTGAATGTCTGTTAGTACTAACAAAAAGTTATATTCCTATTTCCTTCCTTGCTTTAGCACATACTATTCCCCTTTACCCAGAACATACTTTGTTCTCTAACTCCTGCTTTTCCTGTAGGTCATGGATCACCAAGTTATGGCCCACGGGCCTAATCTAGGCTACTGCCTCTTTTTATACACCTTTTGGAACATAGCCATACTTGTCCTTGTATTGTTCATGATTGCTTCCATGCTGCAGTAGCAAAGTGGAACTATTGCAACAAAATCCGTATGGTCCAGAAGCCTAATTTATTCACTGTCTGGCTTTTCAAAGGAAAAGGTTTTGCCATCTACTTAACTTAAGCATTAATGTGAGCATTTTAATTTTTTAATTTTTTTTTTTTTTTTTTTTTGGTTTTTTTCTGGTACTGCGAATCGAACTCACAATGTCGTGCTTGCCAGGCAGGCACTGTGCCGCTGAGCTAAATCCCCAGCCCCATGAGCATCATTTTAGATGACAGGTTTAGAGGACCTGCACTGTTTCATCATCAAAAATGTTTATCATACTTATAATTTTGCTACTTGATTAAAAGCTCTTTACAAGCAGTGGCCAGGTTTGTTGGCCTTGCTTACTTATATTCCTAGGTCTTTGTTCTAATCATATGGTAAGCATTCATAAATACTTGGGTAAATGAATAAAAGTAACTGTAGGAAACATTTTACTCAATGCAAAATACAAAATTATTACTGTCTTTTTAGCATAATTTTTTAATATAAGCTTTGTTTTCTAGAGGTAAACAAGAAATTGAAAATTTGAAGGAAGAAGTGGAAAGTCTTAATTCTTTGATTAATGACCTGCAAAAAGACATCGAAGGCAGTAGGAAAAGAGAATCTGAGCTACTACTGTTTACAGAAAAGCTCACCAGTAAGAATGCACAGCTTCAGTCTGAATCCAATTCTTTGCAGACCCAACTTGATAAGCTTTCTTGTAGTGAAAGTCAGTTACAAAGCCAGTGTGAACAAATGAAACAAGTGAACCTTAATTTGGTAAGTGCACGTCCGTTTAACTCTTGAAACAGCACAGCGAGCAGCATAGATTACATTTCCCTAGCAGCATAAAAGTGTAGTTATAACTAATTTAAGCTCCTTTCTGTGGGCACTTTCTGATAATTTCAAATGCTGAAAAAATGTTAATTTTTTCTTTGAACTGATATGATTAAAATTTCTCCTGAAAATGATAAAGAATACTTTTAAAAATAAGAATATCATGGTTTCTGTTGTTCCTAACTGGTATCATCATGTTTTTCAAAAGGTAATAATCTAAATGTCTGCATTTTAAAATATTTTAATAGTTCCCAGTTATGAGTGTCATCAAGGTACTTGTAAAAGTAATTTGTCATGGAAACTCCAGAAGTTCAGAGCCTTCTGTCTCATGTTGTTTCACATTTGTAGAATGGCACACCCATTAATGTGTCCTCCTGCCTTGCAGTATGAGGCTTTGAGGAGTTCAGTAAACAAAACCTGATCCAGGTAGTAGATGAATCTCTGCTGTTAAGGATTGTATATTTTTAAACTATGAATTTTTAAATGAATTCATGAATTTTTAAATTCATTGTTTACAAAGATTAAAGTTGGTGGTTTTGATCTTACTTAATATACAGCAAAGTAAATTGCTAAAAGAGGAAGAACAGCGAAAAGAGGAAGTCCAGACTTTGAAAACTGAGCTCACGTGTAGACAAACAGAAGTCAAAGCATTGAGTATCCAGGTAGAAGAACTGAAAGATGAGCTAGTAACTCAAAGACGTAAACAAGCCTCTAACATCAAGGATCTTACCAAACAACTTCAGCAAGGTATAAAATTCTTCCTCTCAGACCGTGAATGTGTGTGTTTCTTTTACTCATTAAAAATTTTACTGGGAAAAATACATTTTATTTCAGGTTCTACCAAATTGATTATAGCCGTGTGTTCTTTTAATGTGTTAATTTTTATATACTAAATTGCTAAACAGAAGGAAAAGGTCTGAGGATGTAGCTCAGTGCAAGGCTCTGGATTCAGTCCCCAGTACTACTCTCCTCCCTCTCAAAAAAGAGAACAAAATTTTAATTTTAAAAGATCTGTCTTTAAATATAATTACAAAAACCCATTCGATTATTTTCTCTCTGCACATGCCTGGGAATTGATTCGTGCAATGTTTGCGGTACCCGGGCCCCACTTTGCATATCTCTAACTTGGAGATCATTGAGACCTATCCCTTCACCTGGTTCTCAGGAAACAGATCCAGAAAGTTACAAATTACCTGAACATAACCATTGACAAATAGGATTGGAGCCCAGGTTTCTTTCATTTAAAAATTCATGAGTATTTGTGCTGTGTACTTAGGATACAAGGATGAATAACACATAAATTCCACCTTTCCGTTCTCTACTACATTTGTGTTAAAATATGGTGAAATATAGTCATATCAAATACTTACCATAATTTAATATGAATATATTCAGCTATTTGCTATAAGAATTCAGTTTTTATATAACTGAGGGGAAATTTCTGATAGTAGAAGAATCTTCTAAAGCAGGACTCTAAAATTTAAGTTCAGTGTAACTTCGTAATGTCAGGGTCAGTTATCATAATGTAGTTTCTTTGTATTTGACCTATACATTTTTAGAGGTTATTTTATATAAATGATACCTATAGCCTTGTATCTCAGGTATGTATTCAGGAACTTTCTCGTTTTCTATGTGATTTTTGCCTAAGTGATTTTAGCAACTAAAAATCAGAGGTAGTAGGGCAAACGGTCATAATTGTTGTAAGTAATCCATTTCTTTTTCCTGTAGCCCGAAGAAAATTAGATCAGGTTGAGAATGGAAGCTATGATAAAGAAGTTAGCAGCATGGGAAGTCGTTCCAGTTCATCAGGTAACAGCAGATGGCTTTAGTTGTTACTTAGTGATTATAAAAATAAGTTGCATTTTTTTTGTTTTTAAAAGTATTAGTATACTTTGTTTCCCTTTGAAGTATAAAAATAGCAGTTGTATATAATTATTAAAATGTTTCTAATTAAACGTTTAAGTTCTTTTGCTTCTCAGCCTTTTGGCTAAGATAAAGTATAAATGTTTTAAGTTCTAATCATTATTCAGGGTTTCAGGATTGTTATGGTCTTCTGTATGTCTGCTCATCTTCTTTTTTATTTTTATTCTATTCTACAACTTCTTTTAATATCTAAAATTCAGATTTGTATCCATCCAGAGTTTTTTTGTAGTATGGACCCTCTTTTTCTACTGTAACACCTAAGAAGTAATGAAATGGTCATAATTATATAGTATCCGATTTTTATGTATATAGTCAGTATTTTCAGGAGATGGGTTCTAGGACCCTGCCTCCTATGGATACCAGCATACTCAGAGGCTCAAATCTTTTGTGTAAAATGATGTAGCATTTGCACATAGCCTATCACATCCTTCTGTATACTTCTTAAGTTATCTCTAGGTTACTTATAATATCTGATGCAGTGTAAATAGTTGTTATGCTCTGTTGTTTAGGCAAATAATAACAAGGAAAAAGCCTGTACGTGTGAAGTATAGGCACAGTTTTTAAAAAACATTTTTGATCTGTGGTACGTTGAATCCGTAGATGAAGTACTCATGGTTATGGAAGGAGTAGACACATGCTGTTAAGTAATTACACTATACTATGTATACGCTGTACCTAGTCTACACTATAGTCTATATACTATACACTATACCTAGGCGTTGTACATTAGGGGAAAAACATCCATTACTACTTTAGTGGAAAAAATGTGTGATAGAAAGCACAGACTTGAATTACTGCTATGTCTGCAAATCCCAGCTCTACCATTTATTAACTGTATAATGTTGAGTAAGGTGTATTATTTGTCTTTATAAAATGCGGCTTTACTACACTTGAGCTTAGCTGAAGGGCCAAGAGCTGGATACAGTGCGGTAAGCAAAGGTTTGCTGAGTAAAGAGGAACAGAAAGGCTTCTCACTGATGTTGGTAAAATAAGAGTTTACACGCATGCAGGGCTTACTGTATGCACAATTCTAAGTGCTTTAATACATTAACTCATCTGAGTATGATAATCATATGAGATTAATAATATTACTATTCACATTTCAAGATGAAGCAACCAAGACATTGAATTAAAAATAATTTGTCCAAAGTCACAAAGCTTAATAAGTAGAGTAGTAAAATTTGAACCTCTGTGGGCTGGCTCCAGAACTTAACGCGCTTTTGTCCTTCCTCACACCCTCCCTTCCTCCCATAACTTTTTCTGTCTCCCTGAGGCAGGTACACCTTGGTCCTTGTCACCCTCGAAACCTGTGAATCCCAATACTCACTCCGTTTTGATGAGAAAAAATGTTGGCACTTGCTTCAGCCTCAGGGGCGCCGCCCAGCAGTGCAGAACCCCTGGCGTGTGCTTTTCTGTACTTTAGGTGCCAGCCATGGGTCGTAAAAAGCTTGTGATACCACTAAAGCTAAAAGATTTAATTAGTGAAAGGTTAGTATCGCCCGGTAAGATGTGAAGGCCCGTCACGAGGTGTCTCTAATTACATTATCGATGGGAAGAACCGCTTTGGTACTCCTCGGGTTGGCACTCACCCTGAGTTCCAGAAGGAGGAGCGCCGCGGTGTGCCCCACCCTCTCCATAGGCCGCACTTGGCACTTGTTATTCTCACTTTGCTTCTCCGCTGCCACGTCTCCTACGTTATTTATCTCATACATTATTTATTCAAGTATTCACGGTAACGTGGCCGTAGAACACAGCACAGGTCACTGATGGTCTGAGGTCTTGTTTCTAAATATACTGACAGTAAGGTATGAAAGGGCCTCCCTGTTGTATGTCTCGGGTGTAAGACAAGAGATGACTCTAAACTGTTTTCTTCTTTTCCCCTCCCTCCCTCTCTCTCACCCTCTCTCTCTCTCTCTCTCTCTCTCTCTCTCTCTCTCTCTCTCTCTTCCTTTCCCCTCCCTTCCTTCGTTCCTTTCTCCCTTTCTCTTTCCCTCCATCCCACCCTCTCTCCTTTCTTTTCTTCTTTCTTCCTTCCTTCCTCCTTGCTCCTTTACTTTCTTTCATCCTTCCTTCCTTTCTCTCCTCTCTTTTTCTTTTATTTTCTTTCCATCTCTCTCTTCCTCTCTTCCCCTCCCCCCCCCGCTGCCCCTCCCGTCCCCTCTCCTCTCACCTTTCTTGTCTTTCTTCAGGTTCACTTAATGCTCGAAGCAGTACAGAAGATCGATCTCCAGAAAATACTGGTTCATCAGTGGCTGTGGATAACTTTCCAGAAGTGGACAAAGCCATGTTGATTGAGAGGATAGTTAGGTTGCAGAAAGCACATGCCCGGAAAAATGAAAAGATAGAATTTATGGAGGACCACATCAAACAACTGGTGGAAGAAATTAGGAAAAAAACAAAGTATGTATTATTATGGTAGTATAATCTGTGCTCAAAATACTGTTTTTCACATGGTAAGGTTAATATTTTAAAAATTAATCATACCAAGAGCCTAACTTCAAACAGTAATTTTTCTTTTTTTTTTGTATATGGGGTCTTGACATGCTGCCCAAGTTTGTCTCAGCCTCCTCCTGTCTTAATCTCCTGAGTAGCTGGGACTATAAGCACATACCACCTTGCCCAGCTTACTAACTTTTATAGTCACTCAGTTCCTAACCTTTTATGATCACCTATTCTAGGTTTTGAGAATACAGAAATGAAAGAAAACACAGCTTTTTCCTTCAGTGTGATATAGAGTTCAGTACATATTAATTTTTTTACATAATAATTTTGGATTTTAGAATGATAGTGCTTTCATTAGTTTTTTATTTTTATAAATCTGAGTCTGAAAGATATATGGGGCTTGGACTTTTCTTTTTTGGCAGGACATAATTGGGAACATAGTCATATAAGACTCTGCCTGTGGCTTATAACAGCATCTGACTGATTCCTTACAATCATTCAGTAGAGAAATGCGTTCTCTGATTTTGCAGTTAAGTTCACTGGGGCTCAGGTCAAATCACTAGGGTAGCCGTTAACCCGATAAGAGACACACTAGAACTGGAGATCCAAACCTAGCTCTGACTTCAGAGCTCGTAGTATGGCCAGATTCCTTTCACAAATGCCATATTCTTTTAAAGAAGAATATTACAGGTCTTTTCTTAAGCCTCTTTAATGTCTATTTTAAAATAATTTTAAACTTACAGAAAAGTTTACCTATGACTTTTTAAAGGAAAGTAAGTAGCTGAGTGTGGTGGCTCATGCCTGTAATCCCAGCACTCAGGAAACTGAGGCAGCAGGATCCAAGTTCAAGCCCAGCCTGAGCTACATAGTGAGTTCAGGGCCAACATGGACTTGTCTAAGAAAATACAGATAGATGAGTAGGTAGGTAGGCAGATACGTTTAATAATAGGAACATAGAAAATATTAGCAGAAAGCAAGAGAAATGTAAAGAGAGAAAAATAAAAAAGCAGTGTTTTATGTATCTTTCATCTAATGACTGTAATAGGACAAATGGGACAGTTTAAGCAAACATTTGTATAAGAATTATTTTCTATTATAGTTAGCTTATTAACCTTACAGGGGCTTTTATGGTTATGATTCTTGCAAATTCCACTATTTGTAATTCTGCACATACACAACTGATAGTGTCATTTTGTTTTGCAGAATAATTCAGAGTTACATTTTACGAGAAGAATCAGGCACTCTTTCCTCAGAGGCATCTGACTTTAACAAAGTCCATTTGAGTAGACGAGGTGGCATTATGGCGTCTTTATATACATCCCATCCTGCTGATAGTGGATTAACACTGGAACTGTCTTTGGAAATCAACCGAAAATTGCAGGCTGTTTTGGAGGATACTTTACTAAAAAATATTACTTTGAAGGTATTTGTATTTTTCATTCACTTACCAGTAGGTAAGCATGGTAAATGGCGCCTCAGTTATAATTTCCCCTCGCACTTAGGCTAACTCTGTTATGCAGGACAGCTGTCCTACTCACAGATGAAATTCTAGTGCTTTTCTCTTTTGAAAAATACAATTTTTAAAATTAAATCAATTTAGTTATTATATAGACACCAAGATGAATTGTTTACTTTGGATTGATGGCTTTTGGCATACATTATAATTGTAGTTAGTTGCTGAAACATAATTTTTTAAGATTGTAGCATTTTAATGTATTTTGCTGCTTTTATATTTTGCAGCTATTATCTGATGCAAAATTCTATTTTTACTGTGTATGGGCCCTGTAATGGGTTTTAAAAATAATTTTTAAATCTAGTAAGTAATCATTCTATGCACAAAAAGTTTTCATAGCTACAGTAAAAAGATTAAATAAGACTTTGAAATGGACAGGCCTTACCATAAACATGTCTAGTTTATCGCAACATTTACAACAAATCAACTCTTTAAAAGTTTCAAGGGGGCTGGGGATTTAGCTCAGCGGCAGAGCACCTGCCTTAAGCGCAAGGTCGTGAGTTCAATTCCCGGTACCGGAAAGAAAACGTTTCAAAAGTCAGACAAAAATAGTTCAAGCTGAATCTTTTTACGGTACTTAATTCTCTTTTCTTTTTTCCCTAATTATTAAAGGAAAACCTACAGACACTTGGAACAGAAATAGAACGTCTTATTAAACACCAGCACGAACTAGAACAAAGAACAACAAAACCTTAACACAGAGGCAAAAGCCAGAAGGAGGAGCAGGTGCTGCTAACCGGGGTTTGTGGACACGTCCCTGCTGTGTGTGTCATCGAGTCAGAAACGTGTTTTGCTTCATCTGTATAAAAAAGTACCCTTTTACACGGGATGCATTGCTGTGTATACTGTAAGAATGTAGACTTTGATGAAATTTGTTTTTATATGGTTGTAATACAACAGCCTGTCGTTGAATCAAGAGAACTTAATTTGCTCATGGTCATATGAAGTGCTGGACATTGCTACAAGGGCTTTACAAACCCCTTCTCCATATTTCTTCCGTTTAAAATATATAAGATCAGTAATGATTCATCTTCTTAAAAATATGCATGAAAAGACCTGTTAGTCATTCAGTAACTCACTATTTCTGCAACACCAAGAAAATACAGAAATGATAAGAATTTTTCTGTTTTGACCTAGGTATGGGGCACATGCCTGTAGTCCCAGTTACTCAGGAGGCCGAGTGTGGTGATCATTTGAGCCCAGGAGTTCAGGGCCAGCCTGGGTAGCATAGAAAGCCTTATCTCAAAGCAGACAAAACATTTAAAAACTCCACCTTTTAATATTTTGACACTCCAGTATAACATATGGCTTTGTTTGCAAGATGCACTTAAGTACTTAAATCTTTCAGTTTTAATTTTAATGAAAACTGAATTTAATAGCAAAGGCAGCTGTTGGTAACTAGCAATGATTATGTATGACATGTTTTGTCAGTTTTCCTTCTTTGTCTTAGGTACATTTTTTTCAGATTTGGATTGTTTGAGTTAATCATTGAATTTTAAAAGTCTTTAATTTCTTAAAATGTTATTTTCAGGGGCTGGGGATTTAGCTCAGTGGCACAGTGCCTGCCTGGCAAGCGCAAGGTCGTGAGTTCGATTCCCGGTACTGGGAAAAAACCAGGGTGGGGGGGAATGTTATTTTCAGTAACATATCATTTAGAAAATTCCTGTGGACTTCAGTTCTGTTTTTAAAATGTGAGGTAGAGCTAGTCATTAGAAAAAGGAGATGAATACTTCTTTAAGTGGAAATACTTTAGCTTTACTGGCATTTATGAAGATAAAAATAAGTGTTTAAGATACTTATGAAGGACCTGTTTCCCAAGAGAAGCTATGACAAGGCAGTGTTAGTCATTTCATGTGAGCATCATTCTTCATTGTCGACAGTTAATGACATACTACAGTGCAGTGACCATATAGTTCCTCCAATTGTGTTTAATATATTTATTTGTAACATAATTACATGTCTAGAATCAAGGGAATTTTAGAGCCAAGTTTTTAGAGCATGTTCTTGGATTTTTACAATATTTATTTAAGATAGACACTTAAATATTGCCATAATATCAATATTTGGTTGAATTTTTCTCACCTTTTATAATTTCTCACCTATCATCATTTCTTTCACATTGCATTACATTCAGATCATTTGTATACTAGGATACTTTGGCTCATTTGCAGATGCTGCAGCAAGCCTCATTTCTGTTTTAGATCCCCCAGCACCGCAATTAAGAGACAGGAGCTTTGGGTGAAGCCTTTAAAGAACTGTATGGCCTCTTAAGTTGAGCTCATGGTGGCAATGTCCTTTTAATGTGTTTTAACATTTTTTTTAAAAAATCACTGTTTGAAAAGATAATTTACTAAAAATTAGGTGATTCTATGTGGTGTCTTTTCTGTGTATTGAGTTACATGTTGTCATCCAAAAACAAGTATCTTTTTACTTCAGAGTGAAAATACACATTCAAAGCTGTTTTATTTTTAAAACAAGTGTAGAATGTATTAGCCTTTTTAAATGTGTCTTTCTTTTTTATTAATTTATCAAAATAAAAAATAAGAGGGCAAGTGCAATAAAATCTGAATTATTTTCCCACTTGTTGCTAGACATATTGCTGAAACTCCAGAACTCTATTAGTGTAGGAAACATATTAAACCTTTTTAGTTTCTCATGTGATACAGGTTTATGTTATAATTTTTTTTCTCCAAGGCACAGAGTATAGTGGAGACCAGACAGTGATCAGGTCCATCGTGTCTTATGCCTGTACACTTCTAAAAGTATATACATTTATTACAGACAAAAAAGGAAAATTCCAGTATTAATGTTTTGCCATGATCAACCTGGAGAAGTTTAATTATAAAACAGTTGTAGAAGAAAGTTATTAAAAGCCATACTTTGACTATTACATTTTTTTCCTCATAAACTATAGAGAAGTTTTGAAGGAAATACTTCCATTTGCTCTTCACTACCTAGTGTATCCTTTTGTATATGGATCAGAACCGAGCAAAATAATGTACAAAATGTGCATCTGTCAGAGATACTTGTTTCTATACTGATTCACAAACAGCTTCTAATGTAAGGATGTAGGGGGCTTTCAATGTTACTATACTGAATATATGGAAAGAAAAATGGGTGACAGGGATAAACCCGAGCTCTGTGGAGAAAGTTGTTCGGTGAGTTCAGTGCTGGTTGCATACATCAGAAGCCATTTTTGGCTGGTTTCAGTGTCTGAGCAGGAAATGTTTTGTGTGTATATGTGTGTACACTTCATGGGTTTTAATTTGAAAGTAAATATTTGGTGTGACTCCCATTCTCCCAAAACCACTTCAAACTTTAGTCTGCTGAAACAGTTTTGAGGGTTGAAAATGGTGGAATTAAACAGAAGAATGAGTTTGAACTCTGATAATGTTTTTCGTTTTTGTTTTATATCTTTGTAACCATTTAAAGTGATTCAGTCAGATTATGATCATGTTATTTATTCACATAACCTATCACATTTGAAAACCTACCACTGTCAGGCACCAGACAGGGTACTGTGACTATATTGATGGAGAGACTACGCAATGCCCTTGCTGTCCTCATGGAGCTTACAGTCTAGTGACAATAGTTAGGAGGCACTAGGAGCAGGACTTTGGGCCTTTAGCACTCACGCCACCCCCTTATTCAGTGGACTGAGAAGAGGATTAATCTACCTGGGCAAGTCATGGCCCAGAAATCTCATTCTTTCATGAAGCTTTGGAAACTGAATCTTTGCCGAAGCATACTGGGAGAAAACTGCTGCTTTCATAGTGGTTCTGCACATTTCCTAACTTTTGTCATAGTTTGTTTATTCTTAAAGGAAAAAAAATCCAAAGATCATAAAATGACTTTAGATTTCTACCACTTTAGTAAATTACTAATTTCCACAGAGATGAATTTGTGTTCTCATGCGTGTTTCCAAACTTTGTTTTGCAGTATATTAATTTTTTTAAAGATTTTTATGAATGGATTTAGACAAAGATTTACCATTATAAGGAAAAAATAAATTATTAACATTGTAAATGTAATATATGCTCCCCTGGTGGAAATATTTTTATAAATCATGTTGTCATTCATGCCTTATGAGTGTTGACACCAGTAGCCCATTTTTCAGTAACTTTTCTTTTTTAACAAAACAATTCTTTTTGACACAGATTATTAATTTTTAACTAATACCAGTTGGTGGCACTAGAAACCTGAAAATTTTCAAGGCTGAACAAGAGAAATAATTGAAAATGTATACAAGGGGCTGGGGATTTAGCTCAGCGGCAAAGCGCCTGCCTGGCAAGCGCAAGGTCGTGAGTTCGGTTCCCGGTACCGGAGAAAAGCCAAAAAAAAAAAAAAAAAATACAAACATCAATTTTTAGGAAAAGAAATGAAAAATAAAGCTGCATATTAAAATGTATTCTTCTGGAATGAAATTCTTTTTTAAAATGCATATGGCTGTCCATCTGACTATGATGACACAATTGGTGTATCTTCTAGAATACATATATGTGTGCATTGTATAAATAAACTTTTAATTTGATTAAACTGTTTATTTTGTAAATATGATTCTGTATAAAATGAAGCTTTTAAAGAGGATTCTATGTATAATACTTATTAAATAGGTAATGCCTGTTTACCAACTTGCATTTTAATAGTGTCTTTTTTTGCTTACATGCACTACTTACTACACATTCAATTGTCATATAAGAAACTATTCATATTATGTAAAACCTCTAGGTGGAGAAGAGCATACATTTAAGCAATATTCTGTTTCTGAGGAATTTGCAAGGTTGATTTAAGTTGGTTGAACATTCTTCTTTAAACCAGATGGGGAATTTTTGCTTTCCATATTTATCTTCATCCTACCAATAGTGAAATCTGACTAGAAGTTAGTGAACAGTAGTAGTAGGAAGCAGATTAAGTTGAATGCCAGGTTATATTTAAAATTGTTTAAATTATTGATAACAAAACTTGGCATTTTATGAAACACCCTGGCTCTATAGGCATGTGTAAATTCTTACTAGATAATCCAATGATGCATTCAGATTTTCTACAAAACTATATAACTTACTTGCCCAAGTTGTCTAGCTTTAATAATAAAGAGCTAAGTATGTGCTAAAAGGGCGTCAGTCATACCAGGTTAATATATGTGAAATATAGTTCACACCACAAAGTGTTATTTTCCATTTTTCTAATAGTACTAGCACAAATTATGCCACATTCCTTCATGAGTCCATTTTTGGAAAGACTCCTAAAACCAGAATTTGTATAATATAGCTAAAATTCCAAGCGTAGACAAGCTTTCCCGATGTCCTTGATAGTCTACTTTCAAGAGTCTGTGAATTTGTTTGCAAGAGGAAGGAATACAAAGAGATCCTGGCTTATGATTCTTAATTTAGGTTCATGTGGCAGGAGACTATAACTTGAGACTTTTATCAGCAACTTTGCATCCTTGTAAATGGGTCCCATTCAGACCAGTAGCATAACGAAGTTAAATTGTAAGGCCACTCCCATGAATGTATATATCCAAGTTGTTTTTCTTAATAAAGTCAGAATGCAGAGGAGTATCTGCTCCCTCTGTGGCTGACCAAGGGTCATTTTGAGTTTTGATTCTGAGAACACAGTGCCTAGAAGCGATGTTTCTGCTCCTGTAGATGCAAGTTGCATGTAAGAAACTATTCCTATTTAAAACCTTTTAAGAGGCGCATGTATTTAAGAAATATTGTATTTCAGGGCTGGGGATTTAGCTCAGTGGCATAAGGGCCTGCCTGGCAAGCGCGAGGTCATGAGTTTGATCCCCAGTACCGCAAAAAAAAAAAAAAAAGATAGTGTATTTCTGAGGAATTTCTAGACTTTTGATTATCCAGAGGCCACACTTGTGCCAGATTACCTGCCCTGGTTGTACTCCAAAAAGGAATAGGATGCTATATTCAAG